ATCACAACCAATAACAAATCATTTAAGCTTGTTTACTCTTATCTTATGTTACCTAGTTAGCATTCTTTCTTTTTATTTATGCATATTTTACTAATCACTCCCCTTTTAAACTGTTTACTGTCCTATAGTACACATTGGAATGATTTATTACTTTATTTTTTACAACTATATGAAATAGATAAAGGTGTGCTCTCTCTAATGGGTCCGACTATAATTACAAATATCGTTAGTTCCGCCTATTCCGTCAGCCAAGAAATCGTTTAATCATAAACTTTTTTTTTTTTCTTTTTCATTTTCAGGGTGGCCACAGGGGTTCCAAAGTCAGTCCCCCTCTAGAATCGCCCCTGCTGAGCCGGAAATACCCCTAGTGGAAAAGCAAAAAAAAGCGGGCCGGGTTTGGCTCAGCCACTTAAAACCGTGCTGCAGTGGAAAAGTGCCATTAAAGGAAAATTACAAAACTAACTGAGAATATTCTGATGTGCTGGATTGCTGGATTTTATCTAAATAAATGGTTTATGAAGAAGAAGTGAACTTGTTTGTAATTCTGTACAACATCATGAAAACATATTAAGGCCCTGGATGGAGTGGATGTGGCTAGTCCCTAAAACTCAAGCCTCAGCAAGCAGAAGGGATTACTGAAGGAGCCTCCAGGGGACATGGGACCCCCAGCCATTGCCTTCAAAATGATACTCAAAGAGACGCGTACCAACCAGGAAGAAACTCAAAGTACCATAGGGCAACATAAAAAAGACTATAAAGGCTTCAAACAAATGCAAAAGCCTTAAAGAGATGCTTAACGACTGTGAAGAGAGACACAAAACAACTAAAGAGAGACACATAATGACTAAAAAGACACCAAAATACAAACATAGCTACAAAAAGACCAATATTTTACATTAACAATAGGTAAATAAAATAGAGTAACATCAAAGTTGAATGAAAAATGTGCACATTCTACAATATATCACTATTAACATATATTTACTGTTCCTTTATTTATTTATATTATAGATTTTGATTAAACTTCTTATATTTATATACATTTTTAGTCTATGTTATCCCAAAAATGCAATTTAACAATACACTTAACATAACAAATATATTGCAATAAACAAAATTAGGCTATTTTGAATGAAGTAAATAAGAAATATACGCATTAGAACAAGATAAAACACAATGTACAATACTGTAAAGTCACCAAAAATATATGCAATATGTAGTAGAAAAGTAAAATCCTTTATAAATCTCTGTGATAAAAACCCGGGGAATGTTTGTTGTTTTTAACCAATTACATATACCATATTAAAAGCCTATATAATACGTGGACATGGGGACTGTAAACAGGTGTGTACTGCATGTGTGTGAGTATTTCCCTGGTGTTTTCTCATATAATCAGAAGCGTGGTTCTTGCTGTTCTCTCCCACAGTTCCCATCCCCCACGCCGGCTCCATCCCTGCCTGTTAGCGCGGTGGAGGAGGGGGGCGCTGCGGAGCCACAGAGCCCGTGTCTGTGATACAATCTGCGGAGAGAGAGAGAGAGAGGGAGGGGGGTGGAGAAAAAAAAAAACCGACTGGGTGAGTCGCTCTTTGTTTCTGGCTAGGAGGAAAAACCTAAAGACGTTGCACCCGGCAAGGATTCAAACAGCAACCATTCGTGTGAGTAAAAACCATCATGTTTTTGTGATTTTAAGAGAGTTTTTTCTGTGTTTTTTGCTGGGGAAATGAGCGTTTATTCGGTGTTTTTTTCGGCTTATGAAAAAGCCGACATTACAGTAGCTGTGGCGCGACAGTGTGCAATGAATGAATTTTTGGAAATGTGCTGAGAGTGGAGCACCGTGCCAAGGGTACGGGAGGCGCGATGGATCAATCACAGGATGAGGGGTGATTACCCGTTCACATGTCGCGGAATCTGGGGAAACTCATCGAAAAAACCCTACATTTCCCTAATTAGTCCGGGAGGGCATGGCCGGCTAATGCTAGCATGCTAGGCACAGTCGACAGCCAGCCTATATTGTTTCAATACAAGAAGCTAAGCTAATGCTAGGTAGCATCTGCAGGCAGCTTGTCTCCATGTTTGCCTGTTTATGTGTTTATCATGGTAACCTCTTAAAATATTTATTATATTGTACGGTGTCGTGAAAGGCGCACTTAAATAACATGTATTGTTATTATGCTGTATCAATGCAATAAGCTAAGCTAATGCTAGCACGAGTCAGGCCGGTGTTCTTTGTCACTATTCGGTCGAATTACCCTAATTTTACGGCCAAACTGTGTGCTCATTGAACACCAGGAAACTCACAATGCACTGTAGAAAATATGAGGTTTAAAAGATGGGTTTATTGTATAATAACAGCCGTAATGTGACGGTAACGGTTAATAACGGCTAGGCCTGGTTAGAAAAGCTAGCAATGCTATTGGATAACCAAACTGTTTTTGTTTGTAAATGTAAACATTGCACCATTGAGTTACACACGTTTTAAATCGGGATAAAAAGCTCATTTGTATTGCTTATAGTAGTTGTTTATGTGTATGAGCAATGGTTCTGAGCGTCGTCTATTTGGTTCTATAACAATAGTTGATCGAAGTGACAGTTTAGATTACCTCTTGTGTGTTTTTAAATATTATATTTTCATTTCTTTGTTGTGTGACTTGTTGCTCACATGTGTTGTATCAGTTTTGTGAATAACATTGCTCATTTGTGCACTGGCCATCTGTCCCACTTGAAACAAAAGCAGCGTCCCTCACAACAACACAACAACTATTCATGTGATGAGTTTAGTTTACACACAACAACAAACATTTGAAAACACACATATTTTTTGTTTTAATAATGACCCAAGAATGTGAAATGATCCACAAAGTTTATTAACAGTTACTTTAATGGTAAATTTACCCTAATTTTACGTTCGAACGTGCTCTTTGTTGTGAGACTTGTTGTTATGTGTTTGTGAATAACATTGTTCACATTTAGGTACTGACACTGTCACACTTGAAATGTTATTTAAAAAAAGCACTGAAAAGCAGCTTCCCTCACAACAACACAAACGCTATTCCTGTGATGAGTTGTTGTTTAATTTTCTCACAACAATACTATGTTTATGTTTTAATTTTCTCACAACAACATAGAACAATACTTTTTTTGTCATTAGTTGCGGTTTTGTTCTTACCACACAACAGATGTGTGTGGTTTGCACTTTACAAAGCACCTAAACATACATTTGAAAAACACATCGCCAGTTATCCACGACACTGTTTCTGTATGACTGTGATCAACAGTGTGACTACTTTGAAAGAAACACTAAGGTCCCAGCCTACAAATGGAAATCCTACAGACTTCATTAAAACAAATTACATGTTATGTAAAGATGCTCTTACTAAAAACCACACCATAAATATTGTATTCTCATAATTT